TTCCCCAGTGGAGCTCATTCTAATGCTGACCCCTTAAACCTGTGCCTACAACAACGGGAAGTTTTCTCCTTGAATAATCAAGCAATGTAAAACACTAAGGTTTCACCTGTGGGATGTATTCAACCAGTTTTTTAAAGACTTAATAATTACAGATTTCTGGATTGTTAGGCAAATCCCAGCTAACTCTCACCCTTCTGCCAAATAATAGTCCATTAGTGAAAAAAACAGAGGTGAAATTCTGTTTTCATTTAAGCCAGCTGGAAATTTACCATGGAATTCAGTGGGGCAAAAGAAAGCCCATTATCGTGAAAGTGATTAAATAGCTTCAGTGGTCTTGGAATTTTCACCAGTGAATGAATTTGAGACTATTCCAAGCAATCAAACAAATACTAAAAGTGGATTTTTGACAAAATTAATGGCACATTAACTAAAATCATTACTTTTCATGGAATAAATTCAAGATTATTATATTAAAAGCAAATAAGGTATCTTTTACAAAACAACTATTATGGAGATTTTCTGAGGAAAACAAAAGTTTGATTGCAAAAAAGAGTTCTACTTAGTGCATTATTGGTAAGTGTACTGGTCAAATTAGTTTATGTTCTTATTTTTGCCACATCTAATGGTTATGAACAGGCTTTTTCAGGTTTTCATTTGTTATAGAGCCCCACATTGCTAACATACCTCTTGCTTTAATGCATTTGAAATACATTTCCCTCCTTATGGATTGCAAACAAGCATGTTTCTTTTCCTTACAGTATTTATACACTGAACATCTCTTATTTCTGGTACCGCCACTACATATGTCACTTTTAAGAGGCAATTCTATCCATACCATACATAGCAATTAAACTCTTACATTTTTAACACTTCATAATAATGTCTTACTATAACATTCAATCATGTGCCTTAACATATCTGGGTTTTGGAAATATTGAAGCTGTTACATTCCTGTTAATGAGTGTTTACATTCTTAAGCGAAATACAGTTCAAATACATTTTAATTCTACTGCTATGCTGCACTGGCTAAGAATTTTGCTGATCTAATAAGGAGATGGGAACAACATTTGATACCAGTGACTCATGAAGTCTCCATGTAAGTTTTGACATATTGGAAGGATGACAGTGTGCTGGGCCAAACCTCCTACAGAGAATTTGTAAAAGCCTGTACACACACACAGACACACAATTTGTCTGCTCATCACAGATTTTGCTATTCTGCATATTGTAGATTGACACATTGGGTCAATTCAAGGACCACCTTTGATCTTCATGCCAGAAATAAGGAAAGCAATGTGGGTTGTTTTGCTGAAGCATGTCTTCCTGTGTTACATGACCCCACATGGCAGTGGCTTTCATTCTGCACAGGAACACCTCCTCCTCTGGTTACAGAACCACAGTTATGTTGCCTAAATATGTATGTAAGATAATGAAGTTATCATTTTGAGTCAATTCAAAATTTCTTTAATCAGTACAATAAATTGAAATTCTACAAAAAAGCAAACAAAGTGAAACCTTTAGGTTTTGGTTGTGTTATTATACAAAGACCTTGATATAAATGCTTGATGTGCTTCAGGCAAACAGCCCCTGCCTGAAATAGCAGGGTGCTGGTGTATAATAATTTTTTAATTTTAGATAAATGTGCATAATAAAATGTGTAATTTCATTACAAATTCAAAACTCAATAACAATGTCACTGAAGTTAATGTGACATCGACTGTTAATCTGAGTGAGAATGGAACTGCCTCTTGTATTCTTTCTCTTGTTCTGCATTGAGTAATATTACCTAGGTTGACAGGGAATTTAGCCACAGGTAAGCTGCAAAACATAGCAACTGTTTATGTAACATTATGTATGCTTAAAATAATTAATATCTATAAAAATAGTTTTCTTATCAGCAGTTGCTCAAAAAGACATAAGTAGAAAAGATCAAAATAATAACACACTTAGTCCTACTGAAGTGTTTGCAAAACTGGTAAAAAACTGGTTTCATATTTGTAAAACTGGTAATAAAAGAGATTTGTAGAGTTTTTATCCTGAACATACTATTGCTTTTCTACTTTTCTACAGCACTTTGGAATACTACAGTCATTTACAGTAGTCACAAAAGTGGTAGACAATGAAAGATGTATCCAAAGCCCAAAGCAGTAAGGAGGTCACCGAGTATCCTATTTTTAATTCTAAAGAATTTATAACTTAAAAATCGATTTTAAAACCAAAAAAAAAAAAAAAAGGTGTGCTTCAAAGAAAAAAATAAAAATAACTATACAATTCTACCTTTCTAAGAATATATTTTGCTTTCACTTTTAGATTTTATCTTGTCCAAGTTGGAATCACAACTCTTACTGCAATAGAACGAAACATTTCTGATTGTTTTACTAGTTTTGTCATTACTACGAGAAAATATCTCCCTCCCAACAATACCAGATACTACCATGAACAATACAAACACCCAGTGTCAGGTAAGTCTGCACTTGACCTCCTGCTCCTCTGGCTTACCTGGATGTTCCTGATTCTCTTTGGAATTCACACAGTAGAATGTAAATTGAATGAAACAAACCTTCTAGTCAAAAAGTGATGAAAAACAACACAGGTATACAGTCTGAATTTTTATCTCAACTGAATGAGAAATCCCTTTTTTAAACATTTTTCTGGTAGAGATGAACTGGTTCATAGTGGTTGTGGTTAGATAATCAGCATAGACTGACTCAGCTACTCTACACAGAAACTTAGCTAAACATAGAATGATTTTCCTAAAATAAAAAAAAAAAAAAATTCAAACCAGTCTATTAATACTGAGAACAATTAAAAAGAAGGCTGATTTGTTTCATAAATCTAATACCCAGTGTTGATAAGGAGAGAAAAATTCATCTCCCAGGGTAAGTATGCTCAAATAAGTTGCTTGATCTATCCAAGAATTCAAAAATCATTTCCTGATGAGGGAAATTGAAAATTACTTTGCTCTGGTTGGTACAATTTTTATCAGTAAACTTAATCATTGAAGTTCTAATGTGCTCAGGAAATCTTGTGACCGACCACATGATTAGTAAAATTCTTCCCCAGAGAAGGCGTTACAGTCGCGAATTAACCAGTAAACTAGAGGTGTAAATTTGTATGGTCACATCCAAAAGACTTTGCATGGGAACAAGAGAAACAGGATCTGTAAAATAGCTATATTTTCTCATGTGTTACCTATTTTTTGCCACAAGGCATAGGCAGATAATATATTATCTGTTCTTTGTCAGAATGCGCATCTGGTGATCAGAAAACTTAGGAATCAAAGACAGGATTTAGGCAGGATTAGTCTGTTTACTTTAGTTAGCTGTATGTTTAGTTGCTGATTTCTTGGCTTCAGTGAACTTGTCACCCATGATAAGCAAATGACGTGACAGATGTTGTACAGTCACGACTTTGGACCTCTCTTCAGCTGGGTCCTCATCTGGTTTGAGGAGTTATGCAGACTTCCTCAACCAATATTTCACCTTGCTGTCCACTCAGCTCTGGTAGCTGGTATTAAAAGACACATCTCAGTATCCCTTGAGGGACAGAAGAGCACTGTGAATTAATTTAACATAGCAGTTCAATCTCTACAAACTTGCAGCAAACTAATGAAATTACATGGTCAAGCAATGACAGACTTGTGCTCCATTTAAGCTTCTCTAATGTTACTTTCAAACACCTAAGGTAACAAAAAGACACTTCAAGAAAGGCTTGCTATTAAATTAACCTGTGATAAAATTGTGGTCTTTTATTAATGTTTAGGTAACTTGTACCATTACATGTCAGACAGTGGTGAAAAAAGTAGAAACCTGAAAGATGACATACTTTCCTTTATTTGACCTTCTTTAATGGAAATCTTTGTTACAAGTTCTGTATTGATATAAGTCTTAATGAAAATTTATTTACTGGACAATGGGTACTTTGTGCTGATTAGGTGGGAAAAAATTACCTTCTTTGCTGCTATTTATAACACAGCTAATGATTTTTTTGGGGTGAATGGCTTCTTATTTATCTTCAGAGGCTTTTCTTGGCAGGGACGAAGTAAGGACAAAATGGTCTTTATTGCTTTTTGTGCTACAAGGTGAAAATATGGGACTGATTTCCATTAAATACCTGTGCTCTACTTGCCCAGGTATTCCCATATATATGGATCATATTTTTCCTATAAACGGTGTTCCCTCTGAACATTGCAGTAAAAAACCCACTATCCATTACCCAGTTACTTTAAATACTAGTATATTTGCAAGAAACATCTGGTTTAAAATACTGTATCATTATTCTGGTTTTATTAAAATACCCTGCAATGTAACTTTCCACCTCTTTAAAACAGTTTCACTTTCAGGGCAGCTGTGTTTTGGAAAAGGTTTAAAATCAGATGAATCACTGGTTCTCCTGGGAAGCAGAGCCATGCAGTAAGCTGCTGGCTCTCTGCCCCATAGGCAGGCATTTCTAATATAGCCATTAGGACAGCCCCTATCCCTCTGCCATATTACAAAATTAATGAGTTATTTTCAATAACTTTACAAAGCTCATAAGACATGACATAGCAAATTCTTCCTCTGTTACTTAAGTAGTGAGGTTTCAACTTCTGACATAGAAGGATGATTGCAGGATCCCACATGCAAAGGAAAAGTGTCAGCCTTACACTTGATTTCTGTTGTAGAATGTGTTTGTCCTATGTTAGAAAAGCAGCTGTTTGCTGAAATTCTGTGGAAATGTCCTTGAGTATTTGGTGTAAAGGACTGGTCTTTCTGTCCTGTAAATGTATTGTAGTACTGTGTTTCTCTTAACCACTATAATGTACAAAAATTACAATGAACTCATCTGCATTTAGCTTTTACATATGAAAATATTTTCATAATGGCCATATGGCTCTTCAGAAATTTCTGGTAACAGTAGCAATGACATATTTGTAACAGGATATATCAGAGCAATTCAGTCAAATGGGAAAATAGTTCAATGGAAACATGATACAAATTTAGCAGTAAAAGTGTGCTTACCTTCATATGTTCCACTTTCTAGGAGAGCACCACTTTTCTCCAATTCCATAAAATCTTCAACAGTGATGAAAATATAGTCCACACCAGGGACTTCCCCCTCCTTATGTGGCCTTGTGGTGCCTATTAATAAGATGAAAGACACACTGTCAAGCATATGGCCTAAATGCAGAATGATCTTTTTGAAAGCTTTGGAAAAGCCCAGAGTAAACCACTTACACAACATCTTACAAGGCACATCTTCCTTGTGAAGATGCCTTTCACAGCAACCTAGCTATATCTGCTGAAGCTGACAGAGGTATATGAGATGTATGCTTATGATCATGCCAGATATTATTTGGATCCATATTTATTCTCACTAATGAAAAACTATCATGCTGTTCTTCTTTTTACATTACTAGAAAGACCCTTAGTGACATCAGGAATTCAGAGGTAACAGCAGACAAAGTCTTTTCTACAATTAATCTGCTTTGTGATAGTTTAATCATTTATTTAGAACACAAAAAACTAGTTCTGGAAGTACATCTGTAAGGGTTATATTCACATTGCTTGTTTCAGTGCCATAAGTGGACTTGACAAATGGTTAGGCTTTAGGGCCTGTGGGATTAAAATCACCTGCTAACCATGCTGTCAAACTGCACAGGTGTTTATATTTAGTTATTGCCTCTATTGTCATCTCTGGATGACAGAACTCTGTAAAAGCTGACAGATAATATTACACACAGCCTGACAAGTGACTTAGCTTAGCTAGCAGAAGTTGGGATGTTAGCAGGGAAGAGTCTGAAACTAACCTGATTTCCTAATGGACCAGTTTATTGCGGTCAGGCTATCCCTGATTTGAAACCACCAATTAAGTCTCAAAATTCCATTTGGAAATGGATGTATCTTTGGTTCTCCTCAGTCTCAGAGTGTTTGAAACATCTTAATCAATTCTTTATCAATACTGTACTGATTATATCACATTTAGAGACTGTTGACACTGGGAAGTGGCTAGAAGTCTGTCCAACCTCCTTTCTGTTACTTGAAGACACAGAGACATAAAAGTGTTAGGTTTGCTCAATTTCCTGTCATAGAGACCTTTTTCTCCTCAGACACACACTGAAGTCTATAGCAAAGACTGAATGAGACTGTTGGGACAGTATTTCAGTACTTAACACGAGGAATATGTTTTGATAAACCTATAAGAGCCTTCCCTAATTTTCTCTGATTCCAATTCCCTTCTCATCTCAACATTTACAACTACAACTGGCTGTTAATTTCTGGGAATTCTGATACTTTTATCTAGAGTACTCTGTCCATCTGGAGTATTGTGTGCAGCTCTGGGCTCCTCAGTACACGGGAGATGAGAGCCCTTGAAGTGCATACAATGGAGGGTGTCAAGGATGGTTGGGGGACTTGAGAATCTCTCTGATGAATAAAGGCTGAGGGAGTTTGGGCCTGTTCAGCCTTGAGAGAAGATGGCTGAGAGGGGTCCTCATCAATGTGTATAATTATCTAAAGAGGGGATGCCAAAAGGACAAAGCCAGGCTCTGCTCAGTGGTGCCAACCATAGGACATGAGGCTGTGTCTGATGCACAGGAAGTTCCATCTGAATATTTGGAAGAACTTAACTCTGCAGTGGCCAAGAAATGGAATGGGTTGCCCAGAAAGGGGGGGGGGGGGGGTCTAAAGCCATCAGACACTTGGATTGTCCGTAAGTATGCTGAATTTATTTCCCATGGATTATCTGGTGTCTGGGGATGCAGCAGTACCCTAAAGATCTCCAGCCCTTAGTGAGAACTATGCTGGAGCACAGGGATTCTGGTGTGCCCCTGAGCTCCAGGGAGCTCTGCTAACAGCACAGACATCAGATGTTTGCTCTGCATGCTCTCTCCTGAGAAACTTTTCACTATCAAATAATATTGACAGAAACTGTATCTTCCTCATAAACCACTCTGGCAAATCAAGGCTATTCCCAGATATAGCACAGGGAGGAAGTTCATATATTAGATGAGTATCTCTAGCTTGCTTGTGTCTTCAATTTTTTTTTTTTTTATGTAGACAAGCTTGGATTACTACTTTATCAATCAAGTAAAAATATGAATTACATAAAATGTTAGCCCTACTTTGAGTGAAAATTTGGACCAGATGATATAAAGAGCTCCCTCACAATTGAAATTTTTAATGATTTTATGCTATTTAGTGTTAATACACCCTGGTTTGTTTTAAACACCTGGATATTCAGCAACCATTCATGATGGATGATGGCAAAGTCTCACAGGTTATTCCTGTGTTTCTCTACTTTGGTCTCAGTCTTTGTTCAACTCATGTAGAAAACTGTAATGGACTAAATTTCATATTCTGAATCCCCCTCTTAAGATGGAAGGTTAAGACCTAATCTTTCTGCCCTTATATTAGCTACTCAGGTTTTTTTGCAGATATAGTACAGATATTATAATACCTTTTGCATATCTTGCATTAATTAACTATTAACTAAATATTCTGTCTAATCTGATTAGACAACAGCAGGAGATAACACTGTGTCTTGGTTTAGGGTTTTCTGATAACAAATTCTGCACTTCTCTCCCCCTTTGCTCTTGGAACTACTCTTAAAGTTGCAGAACTTAACATCTAGAATAAACAGCACAGATGAATGGGGATACAAACATCATAAAGTCACCCCAGGGCACACTGTCGCTTGGATGGTTCCATTCTCTTTTACTAGACATCTAGCCAGCTCCAAGAGCCCTGCACTGCACTGTGTGCTGAGGACTGCAGACCTAGAAAAGATCAAGTAATCACTTCCCACAAAAAAATGGAGAAAGGTGCAAACCATCATCAATAGCTGCTTGAATTCAGGGTGACTCTACCCCTGATACAGCAGCTTCCATCCCCAGCAGAACTTTATTGCTCTTGGTAAAATCTTGCTGAGTCCCTTTCCCTCCTGCATCTGTTCTCATTGCCTCAGGCTGAAGGACCTGAGGTCTTGGAAATGGTTAAAGCAACTCCCTGGCTGATGAAATAATCAGTGGTTATTGCCTCTTTTACTCTTTCACCCCTGGAGGAACTGAGTTGTTGCTAATAATACTTCTGCCATCCTTTATAGTTTTCTGTAAGCACCACGGACTTAGTAATGTGCATATTTACAAGTTGGACATAGTTGCTGGAGCATCTTAAACTCCCATCAAGGTCCGAACATGAGATCTATATATAGGAATCTTACAGACCACAAGCAAATTCCTTCCTTGGCTTTAACCTAGAGCTACACTTCTTAATAGATTTTGTCTTTAACTGCACTCATATAGACAGATAAGCCAGCCTAAAACTCATGGAGATTCAAGACTTAAAACAAAGGACTAATTCCAAGCCTCAAATTCCTACAGAAACACATCTTTTGTTATGCAGCACCAAGACTTAATAGGACACAGTGCTACTACTTATAATATTTAGCCCTTTATTAATGCAAAATGGAAAAAAGAACTCAGTTGCAATTTTGTTACCAAGGTAACCGATGAAAAAATTATCTCTGAATTCCATAATGAAAGAATATTATACTTTTAGATATTTCAGGACCAAAACCAACAAGAGGCATTTGCACTATGCATATTTCTGACAAATGCAATTTATTGGTGCAGTTGAAGACACAAAATGAGAATATCTCAAGTAACCATGACCAATCCAGTAATGCAAGTGCTGTCACAAAACCTGTAGGTACCTTAGAAATTGCAGGACTTTGGTCTACAAAATCTAGACTGGTATTGACCTTCCTTGATTGCATGACCACTTCTTGCATCATTCACCAATCTGCTCTCAAAACCAATATTAAGGTCATTCAGTGAGCAACTATTTTGTTTGGATTTATCAAAATGGATAGTCAGTACAATTTGGAGATATTTTAGGTATGTGATATATCTTATTATTATTGTTATTATGTTTTAAAAAGATCCTTTGCCTTTGTAGTTGGGTTCTTCTCTTCTACAGGGGAATTATGGTGATTTGCTATACTTGAGTCCAGGCTTTCCATGCTGAGGTGTGTTTTAGGATGCTGCTATATCCAGGAGAGGTATTAAGTACTGTTTACATAAATAGCATCTGAAAGAGCATTTTTCTTTTAAATGAGCTTAAGGCACCTGAGGGCAGGTGCTTAGACATATAAGAAATCTTTACTTTTATAGAAAAAAAAAAAAAAAAAAGAAAGAAGTGTGTTAATTTAATAGCAATAAACTATTTTTGAAATACTGCCTTTATGAGCTTGGGGAACAATAAATAAATGGAACTTTTATGTTGACTTCTAGTGCAGACTGGAAAAATGGTCAGTTCATGTAGTGTTCAGTCCAGATTGCCTTTATTAGTAAAAAAAGACAGAATTATTGATTCTAGAAGAGTTCCAGGGTTGGAAAACTCTGCACCAGCTTGTGGAGTCAGGAGATCAACTAGGAATTCATGTCTGTTTTTAATCTCAGTATTCAATTACATAATTATATTTTAGTGCTTATTTGGGAGCAAAGTGCACAGCCTAATTTTAAACATATTTCTACTACTTAGATGCATTGAGTCTTCAGAATCTCTGTCCAGCTCTGCTACATTCAAAAACAGGAAAGGGGCTCCCTCAATTTTTTTTTTTTTTTTGCTCACCCCATGTATTTATGGAAAAGAAATAGAGGCAAATTTATTTATTTGTCAGCATAGGAATGTGAATATTAGTTAAAACTCTTGAACTATGACAGGAAAGATTCACTCAGTACTTTAGACATATTTTAAAGAATACTTTATCCTTGCAGTAAATAATCTGTATTTTAGAGTCTTTAGCAGCATCTCAAAGTTAGTATTGTACTAGTTGTGTCCTTGTAGAGTCTATATGATGGTCAGGAAAGTAGAAGTAAAGTAAAGACCTTACTTCCCTGCATGGTCCCATACCAACTCAGACCAGGCTCATAGATTTCAATGCTCCAAGCTTACAGGCATGTTATAAATATTTCAATTATGAATTTTTTTTTTTTTTTTTTTTAGTAAGTTAAGGGCAAACCTGACACACCACTATCCAAACATCTCAACACATATTTAGCTGATTTATATTTGGATTCACAGATTGGTTCCTACTGCATGAGGTAATTTCAAAAGCAAAGGTGTGTTTTTGCCACAAG